ACCCATCCACCATGACTCTCTGGGTGCGACCCTCCAGCCAATTCGCCACCCACCGGACTGTGTAGTCATCCAAGTCACAGCCTCTTAACTTGTTCACCAGTATGGGGTGGGATACCGTATCGAAGGCCTTCCTGAAGTCTAAGTATACGACATCCACCCCTCCTCCTGTGTCCAGGCGTTTCATAACCTGGTCATAAAGAGAGACTAGATTAGTCAGGCACGATCTTCCTGCCACGAACCCGTGCTGGTTTCCCCTCAGCATAATTTGTCCTGCTGGGCTCTCACAAATGTGAGCCTTGATAATTTTTTCAAAGACTTTGCCAAGGATGGAGGTGTTACTGACTGGCCTATAGTTGTCCGGGTCCTCTTTCCTCCCCTTTTTAAAAATGGGTGCCACGTTGGCCCTTTTCCAGTCCTCCGGGACTTGGCCCGTGCGCCACGAGCTTTCAAATATTCCCGCCAGTGGCTCTGCAATGATGTCGGCCAGTGCCTTCAGCACCCTCGGCTGGAGCTCATCTGGGCCTGCCGACTTAAAGGCATCCAGTTCTTCCAAATGACTCTGCACCATCTCAGGGTCTACGCATGGTAGTCTGGCGCCTTGCTGCTGTCTCTCTACAACCCCAGTGGGAGAATTGTCGTGCCCCTCTCTTAGGAACACTGAGGCAAAGAACTCGTTGAGGAGTTCAGCCTTGTCCCCTCTGTCCATCACCAATTGTTTCTGCCCATTTAGCAGGGGTCCTATTCCTCCCTGGGCCTTCCTTTTACTCCCAATATATCTAAAAAACAATTTCTTGTTGTCTTTTACTTGGGTTGCCATCCTCAGCTCCATGGCAGCTTTGGCCTGTCTAACTGCCTCCCTACAAGCACGAGCAGAGGAGGTATATTCGTCTTTGGTGATCTCTCCCTGTTTCCACTTTTTATGTGCTCCCCTTTTGTCCCTTAGGCTGCCCTGGATTTCTCTGGTCAGCCAGGGAAGCCTCCTGGCCCCTTTTCTCCTTTTGCCTCGCTCGGGGATCGTCTTGCTTTGTGCTCGAAGGATCATTTCCTTAAGGCACAGCCACCCTTCTTGGGCTCCCATCACTTCAAAACTCCTACTCTGCAGTGCGTCCTTGACTAATCGCCTGAGTTCATTGAAATCAGCTTTCCTAAAGTCTAGCACTTTCACCCTACTAGTTACCTTACCCACTCGACGTCTTATGGTGAATTCTATTCTTAGGTGAATAGTATCTTAATAGTATAGAATTTAAATTAGATAGTATTTTAGAGAAATAGGGTTTAAAAATAGATTTTATGTGTTCTAAAAAGTCTGCTTTCACAGTAGTTTTTAGTACATATACTGTATTAGTTATTTTGTATTTTCTTGTCTAATTTAGCATAAATTCTAATAATGATTCATTTTAGCACAATTTTTAAGGCTTTATTCTTAAAAGCAATGAGTATGTATCAGTATGAAAGTCTGAACTACCATTTATTTTATATATTTTAGTAATTTGTCAGTTTGTAAATACTGCTGTGAATAACTCAATATCCACCTTTTAGGTTTGTCATTTGTATCTTTTTTCTGTTTTTCTGTCCTATACTGTCACTGGAGAGAGGTTTGGAGAACTAGTTATATTTTTAAATTCTTTTGTGGTTTTTTTTTTAAGCTTTTTTGCTTTTTTGGCATTGGGACATTTTAGAAAATTGCCTTAATGTTATTTTTAAGATTTAATTGCACAAAATTAAATTTTAGAGTTTCAATTCCATTAAATCAGCATGTCTGTCATATGGGTGCCTATATTTGCATATCTCAAAGAACCTCAAAAGCTCTTTTGGCTAACTTGGTTAAGGCCTTCCAGCTTTCATAGCTAGTGACACCATACTGAAGCAGTTTGACCAGTTCTAACACCTGATCACGTCTGGATGATCAGGTATACATTTATTGATCACTAGCCACTTGCCTGTCAAGACTGACGAGGGCAGGGGGCTGGGATGGAGTGCCGCCACCCAATGCCCCATGTTGCTGCTGTTCTGCCTCTTTCAGGGAGCAGGCTGGGGGAGCCGAGGCCCCCCTGTCCAGTCCTTGGCGCAGCTTCAGAATCCTGGTGGTGTTCCCCCACTCTTGGAGCACTCTGAATGGCTGTTTCCATCAGCCAGTCAGAGTGCAAATAAAGTGTTACGGATTGACTGACAGACAGACAGACTTAGGCGTTTATAGTATTAGAATTCTCAGCCAGTCCAGCTATGAGTCTAGAGTGAGCTTCAAAATTGTGTGTCATGAATCATGGTGAGATACCTTTGTCACTGCTGCTTATCATCCTGTTTACTCTGTTATGTTTTTAGTTGTGTTTTTATATTTTGAGAAACACATTGACTGTAATGAACTGTGTTCTCCCATGGAATATGTAAGTGGTTCATGATATAGAAGAAATGCTGGAAACATGAAAAAAAATGGGAAGGCATTATGCTGCAAAGGCTGGAAGACTGACTGATATTGACGAGAAAAATAGAAAAAACAGAAAAATAAAATCTTTTAGCAGGAAATCTTTCAAAGCAAACATTTGATAAGATTCAGGTATCTGTTCAATAAGCAAAATGGCACATTTAATTAATCATTACATACATAAATTATCAACAAAATATTAATGTTTTGACCTGAGAAAGTGTAGCACTTTCCTCTTTGAAGAAAGCCATTATGATTAGCTATGAGATATGTATATGGATTTGTCTGTTTTTATCCTGATTTAAAAAAAAATGTAAGTAAATATTAATGCAGTGAAAATCTAATTTGATGTTTTAATCTTGCACTAAAGGAAGAGAGTATACTAAGGGTTTTAACATTTGATTTATTCTCAGTCCTCTAGAATTCACATAACCAGGGCCGTTTTGGAGCAATTTTTATCTTTTGCAAAATATTTGGATGGTTTGTCACATGGAGCACCTTTATTGAAGCAATTGTGTGACCACATTCTTTTCAATCCTGCTATCTGGATACACACTCCTTCAAAGGTATGTATACAATGTTGTAGTTATTTACTCCTTGCTTTGTACAGCACCATACATGTCTTGCTTTATACCAGTGGTTCTCAACTTATTATACTGGAGGCACCCTTGGAAAATGCTTGACTCATTGGACAGTCCCCCTTCTGAAGCAGACTCATTGGACACAGTCCCCCTTCTGAAGCAGACAATCATGTTGCATATAATTCCTTTCATAAACTTTGCAATCTTCATCTAAAAATCAATCAGTTGATGATTGGAAAGATTCTTTTAATTTGTAGCTTAAAATTATTCATGGCCAGTTTGTATCTATTTGTTTTTGTGCCAACATTTTTAATTTAAACTTCCTTTTTTTCCCCTTCCCCTCCACCCCCCCCAAAACCATGCGTGTCTCCTTGATGTACTATTAGGCTAAGTACAACCAGTCAAAAAGCCTGAGGCTGAATTGATTCAATCTTTGCAGGTCAATCTAAGCTTCGTAGATTGAAAAAACAAATGAACAGACATTCACTTTTGATTCCAGAAATGCAACCACATGCCTACAGCAGCCCAGGCCAGAAGCCAGGGCCGGGGGTGCTAGAGCATGTCTCCCTGCTCAGCTAGAGCAGACAGGTTGGGCCAAGGCTAACACACCCATCCTTGCAGGGAGGGTTTGCAGGGAAGGTGCAGAGCATCCTGGGATGCTGGGGAACTGTGAGTTAACTTGAATCTGGAGGGGATCTGGGACAGAAGTTCAATAAACCGATTTAACCTAAATCAGTTAATTCTGACACTACATCCCTCCAGGTTTATTGTAAACCAGTTTTGGCCATCTTGAAAGAGGTTTATATGCACTGAATTTCTGTTGTGTTACAGATTTAAATTGGTTTCTGATCACTTAGGCTGGTTTGTGTATAACTTCTGTCCCTAGCCATAAAGAATCATCATATTCGCTTCAAACCTTCATTTTGCTAGGCAAAAAAACCCAGACTCCTTTACTGTCTTCCTGTAAGAGAAGCTTTCCATTTCTCTGATCATCCAATTAGTCCCCCTCTGTAACTGTGGTGTTTAAATTTAACCTTTCTTGGTGCTAAGAATTATGTACAGTATTGCAAAGAAGGTCTTTCCATTCCCTTTGCACAATACAATTGCAGTCTCCTGGAAATAGTTTACTTCATATATTTTAGAATCCTGTTTACCTTTTTTCATAGTTGCATCACAGTATTGTCTTAATTTTAATCTAGCAATGAATATTTGTAAAAGTAATCCAAAAGTGAAATAGTCATAAATTATAGGATTAAATAAATCTAGGATAATTTTTAAAAAATATATATATACTTCCAAATCCATCAATTTTTTTGTTCTTCTGTTCTAAGAAATTCACTTCCAGGAATAATCAAACTGCAGTTTCTCAAGAGAATCAGGGTTTCATTCAACTGAAATGCAGTCTGACTAAAAAATCTAAAGAGTTATGTTTTCTATCGTATAGCTAAAAATATCAGGGAGATATTCACGCACAAAATTTCTTTTAATCCATTTGTTTGCTTACTTACTTAATGTCAAAGCCAAATGCAATTTTACTTGTATTTAACTAATATTTATATAGGTTATAATTTCATTTTAGGTACAGCTTTCATTGTACACCTACCTGTCTGCTGAATTTATTGGCACTGCCACTATCTACAATACAATACGCAGAGTAGGAACAGTATTACAGTTAATGCACACGCTGAAATACTACTACTGGGTGGTTAATCCTGCTGATAGCAGTGGCATTACTCCTAAAGGACTAGGTAAGTACAATATAAATTTATAACAAACGGTACAACTTTTCACAAAGAACAGTAACAGCTTTGGTAATGTGTGAGAGCTGGGAGGACCAATAGACAAAGAGTTAGGTAGAGGTTGATAACCGCTACCAGTTAATGGCTGACATCTTAAATAATTGCATAAGTACTTAAATAAAATTTTAAACAGCATTTATTGTACTTCACACAGGACTTTTGAAACGCTTTTGAAAATAACCCTTATTTTTAGGTGTCATTTATAGATTCCTATTCTTCTACCACATCTACTGTACTGCTTGAATTCTTCAGAAAAAATTTAGATTTTGACTAACTTGTCCTCCCTCGCATATGATATTATTTTACACAGTAATGTAATTACGGGGGGGAAGGGTGAGCATGGCACCAGTCATAGGCAGTGACTTAGGCAAGTAGTGCAAAATAGCAGCAGCTGCTGCTGTTACTAGCTTGGCATTTTTGCTATTGGCAGTCACCTGGCCACTGTTGGTGCCAGGGCACACAACTGCTCAGCTATGGCTCTGATTTTGTAGCTGTATATTTCTTCAGTATGTACTTGTTTTACATTGTGTAAATCTGACAAGCAAACAAGCTTCACAAAATTATATAGTGATTAGCTTCTCTGTCTCTGAAAAACACATGAAAAGGTCTGGTACTTGTTACTGAAATCTCCAAAACATTTTGAATTCAGTAATACTTTCTCTCTTCTCTTAACCAAAGAGATTGATTTAATAGTGCTTAAAGTTCCATACTTAACTTGGGTCAGGAGTAAACACACAGGCTAGGAACAGACATTACACATAAACCGGTTTAAGTGATCAGAAATTGATTTAAACCTGTAACAGCACAGACATTCAGTGCACATAAACCAGTTTCAAAATGGCCGAAACCGGTTTGAGATAAACCTGTTTGAATGTAGTATCAGACTTAACAGATTTGTCTTAAACTGTTTTATGCAATGTCTGCCTCAGACCCCTTGCTGGTTTAAGTTAAACCAGAGTCCCCCAGCATCCCAGCATGCTCTCTGGACTGGGTGGGGCTCTTTGCTCCACAGCAGGGCTGACCCCACCCTTCTGCTCTGTAGCCCAAGCAGGGACTGGCCTGAGTGGAGACACCGGCCAGCATGGTCCCATTAAGGCAAAGTGGGCAGGGAGGAGGTTAATTCTTTCCTCCTTCCCCTGTTTTCCCACCATAGCCAGGGTCAGCCTGTCTGCTGGGGAGCAGAGCCGATGGGGCTACAATGGTGGCCCCTGGAGCTGGCAGACCCCGGTTGCAGGGAAGGGACAGAGGGAAGAATTAACCCTTCTCCCTGCCCCCTTCACCTTAACCAGGGCTATGCTGCATTGGTTGTCACACAGGGTGGGGAGGTGGGCTTTGATCTGTGCTGGGGAGGACTCTTCCCCCTCCTCTTCCTTCCAGTGTGGGTAGGGAGACTCTGTGAAGTGCTGGACTCTTCCTTCTCCTCCTCCCCTTCCCCCCCACTGCCGCAGGGCTGGGAAGGGGGAGCTCCATTTGATGCTGCCTGGCCCCAGAGCAGGGGTGGGGGCAGTAGAAGGCTCTGTTCCATGCTGGGGGAAACTCTTCCCCCTCCTCCTCCTTAACCCCAGAGGGGCAGTGGGATTGTGGAGTTCAGCTGGGCAGCGTGTGGGTGTGAGCGTGGGGGTGTAGGGACCCCTACACACTTCCCCCCCCCCCCCCTGGGGCCTGCTGCCTGGCAGCAGTAACAGGAGGCAGGGAGGTCAGGGTGCTTGTGCCCAGAGCAGGTATGGCTCCAGCCAGCGCTGCACGGGGGGAGGGAGCGGAGTCTGCCCCATCACTGGGGCTTTGCTCCCTACACTTGCAGCTCCAGCGCTCACGGTAGGGGAAGCCCCACACTGGAGCCTGCTGCCTCCCCCGCTCCTTGCTGTGCAGGACCCTGCACTTCACTGGGAGTAGAGGGCGCCCCCCCCCGCCTCTGCGAGGAGTCTGGCATGGAGCCACAGCGGGTGGCATGGAGCCACAGCGGGTGTGGAGCTGCGAGTGTGCGGCGCAGAATTAACTCAGACAATTTACCATCCGTTATAATACCTTGCTGTGAATCTGAGTGGGGCAGCAAATCCACATAAAACTTTATCTCAGTTTATACTACACCTTCTATCCAGTGTGTATAGATATATAAGGATTTAACTTTACTCTAGAAAATGTTCATATTAGTTCAGACCTTAAGGTCCTTGGCGCACATTATACTTAAGACCATGATTAACCAGTTAATAATATCTTAAGTAGTTACCCAGTCACATGTTAATGCAATTAATGGTATAGTAAAACAAGGAATAAGCCACAAAGTCATTACACAAAATATGTATAATAACTTTATAGCTGGTTTATATAATGCCATTAATTGAATGTGTGGCTGACGGGGGCTCCCAGCCTACAGAATGCATGGGAACTCCCATGCACTTCCAGGGCTGAGACTGCCAATTAGCTGATTGCTGTTCCCAGCCTCAGGGGCCCATACACTTAAGTGCTCCGATGTACCTTCAAGGCTGGGAACCACGATCAGCTGCTCCTTCCAGCCATAGGGGCATATTGGAGCCTCTGATTCAGATACACCCCCTTGGCTGGGGTCAGCAGCAGATGTAGGCTCCCTGACTTTAGGGTACATCTGGAGTCAAGAGCTCCACTGTACCCCAATGCCTGAGAGCCCTGTCAGCTGATTCAGGCTCCTAGCCCTGGGGTCTCACCATGCATTCCCATTGCTTGGAGCCCTGTCAGTTGATATGAGCTCCCAGCCATGGGGGCTCAACATGCATTCTTGTGGCTAGGAACCCCCATGGCTGGGAGCCCTGTCAGCTGACCCAGGTTCCCAGTCATGGGGATGCACCTTGAATTCCTGTGGCTGGGATCCCTGTTAGCTGATCCAGCCTCCCAACTGTAGAGGCACACCATGTACTGCTGCGGCCAGGAGCCTGGATCAGCTGTCAGAGTGCATGGTACGTCCTCACAACTGAGTGTCCAAATCAGCTAACAGGGCTTCCACCCCTGGAGCTTGCTAATTTCTGGTGCAGGGGGAGTCCAGGATCAGGATCCCAGGCTCCCCGCTGCACTGGCAATATAGCGTGATGAAACCTGATACTCAGTTGACACAGTCATGCCTCCTGTCGTGTATGTGTGGCATAGCAGGAAGCAGGATTATGGGAATCGTACATCAGATTCCACTGCGCCTTTAATTACAAATCTGCCAGGGGCCTAAGTCTGAAACTTCAGAAATTCCACCTCATCCTGATATGACATCTTGTTTTTAACACCTAATTTTCTTGAACCTGTTTTGAGGTGTTTACTTATAACACTCCACAGCAGGACTCTCAATTATTAACGCCTCTTGAACTTTTGGGAATACATCTGATGACCTGTATGGAGATTTGTATTTTGAAAAATTCTGATTCAGTACTGCAGACACTCTTCTCCTTTCAGTTAGATTGACAAAATTTGAATAGTCTCTGTTAGCAAATCACTTTAAAAGCCCAAGGTTTTTGTAGATCTACTTCTTTTCTCCAGCCAGGCTGTGGCCCCTTTGGACAGCCACTGGTTGGGGATGATGATAGTTATGCCTATGTTCTACTATGGGTATATCCCATGCTTCTGGGCTTTACTGGTTGCTGCATTGGGTTGGGAGGGAGGGAATTCGTACCCCCATCCCACCCCTCATCCCACCCAACTTTCTGCTGTGTGTCAGAGTGTTTTTGTTTTTTAAAAGCCTTCCTCCAAAGCATTGGGTTTCGGATGTAGCTAAGGTTGAGGATTTTCCCTGCTGGGACTTAAACATGGAACATCCTGCTGAGAGGGTCTTGCCTTTCCACTCGTCCAGACCAATCACCGTATCTGGGGTCAGGAGGGAATTTTATCCCATGGTGAGATTGGTTTGGACAGTGGGGAGTTTTGCTTTCATCTGTAGCAGGGGGCATGGTTCTATACCTGGGATCTCTTGAACATATATTAACAACCTTTTACAGAAGCAGGATGTTGGTTGCTGTGGTCCCCTTGCTTTACTAGTGGCAGGTTAGGGTGTTATGTCCTATGTTGTGTCAAGGTTGAATGGTAGTTTTACTAAGAGGTTGTATTATGGATTTGTATAGGATGGTTTGTTTAGGGATGATCTACCTTAGACAATGGTGTTATACTTCTAAACCACGTTACAACTGCTTATAATTTTGGCGTACTTTTACTGTTTATGCAGTTTTTCCACTCCAGATTTCTGCTTCGGGATGGATTTCTTTCCTTTGCTTTTAAATATTCTGCCTAAAATGGTTTAGATACTTTTCAGAATCAGGTGAAGGAGAAAATGTGTGAGGTGAGCATTTTTGTGGGTGGTATCTTTTACTGGACCAACTGCGTGGTGGGGTTAGACAGGATTTTGAATGCTCTGCACTATTCTTCAGGTCTGACGAAAAGGCATAAACAGCAAGGACTTAAAACAGGCTGCAGAGCTGTGAAATTGGAGGAAAGATAAGTTCCCAGGGTAGCAGAAAAGTAAGTTACAGAAAAAGCATAGCTTGATTAGTGGAAGATGAAGACTTCTCAAAAGGGAAAATGATCATTAACACATGTATTGTAAACATTAAGATTAGCAGAAATCAGGTAGACTATCATCTTTTTTCCTGTATTGGTATTCAGTCCTTGGTTCTTAAGTGCCCGTCCAATTTATTAATTTTTGTTCCCAGGATTGCCTTTTGAAGGTGATCCCCAAATGATTTCAGATGTAATAACTGGAGGTATCTTACCCATTATGCCCTGTTGTCTTGCTGTAGTTGACATCAGTGAAGCTGTATGAGCTGAAGCTTCCCGGATGCAAACAAGAGGGAACTGCTGGCTAGATTTTCTTCATAGAAAATACTTGTCCATCGTTAATGTGCCTCTTCTGGCTTCTAAGTAAAGTGCACTTTACTTAGAAGCATCTAGGAGCACTGAGAGAGAGATTTAGAATGGCTGGGTTGAGTGTGATTTTTTTTTTT